CCAGCGGACGTGCTGGCGTAGTAGGTGGTAGTGGTAGTGGTAGTGGTAGTGGTAGTGGTAGTGGTAGTGGTAGTGGTAGTGGTAGTGGTAGTGGTGATAGTAGTAGTAGTCGTCGTCGTCGTCGTGGTGGTGGTGGTGGTGGTGGCAGAAGAAGAAGTAGTAGTAGCAGCAGCAGCAGCTGCTGCTGCTACTGCTGCTGCTGCTGCTCCTCCTACTACTACTACTACTACTACTACGACGCCGACAACGACGACGACGACTACTACGACTAGAAGACGACGACGACTACTGCTAATTACTATTACTACTACTACTACTACTACTACTACCACCACCACTACTACGACGACGACGACGAGGACGATCACCACGACGACTGCGACTGTTACTGCGACTATGACTATGTCTACGATTCCTACGCCTACTCCTGCTCCTACTCGTCCTACTCCTACTCCTTCTCGTAGTACTCCCGGTCCTACAACTCCACCTCGGCTCCTCGTGAGAGTGTGACTGCATCTGCGGCTGCGGCTGTGCTACTGCTTGACCTTCTCCTACTGCTACGGCCACCACCTTTTTCGACAACACCATCACAACCACCATTAGGACGAGTGCTACACCAGCGGCTGCCGCTACCACTGCTACTACTACGACGACGACTGCTACCATCACTGCTGCTCCAACCAGTACCACTGCGACTACGACGACGATGACCTGTCGCTGCTGCGTGTCGCTGCTGCGTGTCGCTTGATGTGCTGCGCTGCCACCTCTAGGATGCGGCTGCTTCCGCTGCTCCGACTACAACGCCGACTACTGCTACCCGACGCCCATGCTTGCGACATACTAAGCCCGCATTAGGACGCAGAAAATAACCCGATTGGATTGCGCAGGAAGAGCTGCTTGCAGTTAGAGTACGCTCGGCATTGCAAGGAAGCGCATAGATGCTTCCTTAGCTACTGCCCCTCGCCGAGCACTCTGAATTCACACTAGCCTCTTTTGAACTAGTTCAAGCAAATCTCAACGGGGCAGCCGTTGACTGGATCACAACCGTCCAATCGATATCACTAACATCGCCGTCACCATCAGCAGCATCGGCATCGGCATCAGTATGATCATCTTCATCATCATCAGACTCCTCCTCCTGGCACAACTGTCATTGTTCTCATCGTCTTCATCGCCGCAATGTGAAATTTCAGAAATTACCTCCGAGATTGGCACCTCTCACCGGCAGGCATGCATTGGGAGTCGAATGTCTGGCAAGGAGAAGCCCCTTCCACGCGACAAGCTTCCATTGCTGGCCAGGACAGCTGCCACATATCTCCTTGACCGACTTCAGAGTGAGGGCTCGGGGGATCTTGGAGCTGAACACGAACTCTGAGCTTCTGGAGAGGTGGAAACCGCAGTGAGGCCCAGAAATCTTCACCGCAATCGTGAGAGGCAGCTCTTCAACGGACCCTCGCTTGAAATATCTTGAAATCCGAAACCCTAAACGGGGCCTAAACGGGGCCTGAAGCCTGTGGAGCCTCGGCCGAGCGGCTGCCCGCCCTCGGAGAAGCTGGGCCCCAGAGACCGCCAGGAGGCCGTGGCGGGATCGAACTCCAAGGCCTCTGAAAGGGGACTTCATGCCGCTTGTTCCTCAAAGGAGACCTCTTTTCTGCCTGCTAGTCCAAGTAGAATTTTAGAATGCTTATGAAAGGCGTTCAGGGTTTAGGAAGTTTAGGTAAGGTTCGGGATGGTTCGGGAACTTCATGCCTGAAGGGCCGTAGGGGCACTGGGATGGTGAGACCAGGTGGTGCCGGACAGAATTGGGGGCCTGCAATTTGAGCCTCTTATGGGACTAGAGGCTCTGTCTGACACCCGCCCTGCGCCCTTGGAACTTCGAGACCTCCAGCACAGCATCCTGGAGGCTAAGGTCGGCAGATCAGTGCAAGGCCAAGGTTCAAAATCACAGGGGCGTTGGGTTCGGGGTTGAGGGTGAAGGCACTATCATAAGGGGACAGTATTGCAAATTCTTCCAACCCCGCTATGGAGCCTGCTCGGCATCGAAAGGTGGGATGTAGATCCTTCCTGGGCCGCGGGCGGGGGGGGGGGGGGGGGGTTGGACTGAGATCTGAAGAACACAAAGCAAACTTTCGCAGTGCCATGAAGTCACAAGCTGTGAGCTCAAAACTCGAAGCTTCAGCCCTGGGTCAGGCGAAGCCTCCTCGATCCTAACCAGATCCTCGAACTCCTCAGATAGAACACACTAACATAGGGGCCGCAGAACACATTAATATAGGGGCCGCAGGTATTAGAATGCTCTTTTTGGGCGGCATAATATTATCGCGTTTTTGTAGTATCAGTATATCGGGACTAGAACTAAGTATTCCGAGCCCTATGTCCACTTGCATCGTGCGTCCGCTTGGAGCAACCACTGCCGTCATGTACTTGAAGCCCCCACTGGGTAGAGCTTCACCCACCTGAAGCGAAGGCCGGCTACTCTCGCCTTAGTATGGGCTTTGGGGCGTATAAGGGGTTCAGGCCAAGAGGTTTGGGCTTTAGAATGTTGCCATCCTGTGTGGGACCCAAGCCGAGTTCTTGTCGGCATCCGAAACACGACTTTGCACGTTGCCCAAGGCTCCCCGGATGTGCACCCCGCGGTTCCACCACGGTTCCAGCCCTTTCTCGGAGTATGAGTGGCCCCCTATTCGGAGCGGCTCCCTCACACCTCCCGGCTCGTACCCGTCGCCGGGTCGATCTTCAAGAAGCGTGGCGCATTGAAAGGGATGCCATAAACACCTCAGGTTCTGCCACTGCTGTTGGCAGAAACCTTAAAGCCTTGAGCGTGGACACTAGAAGGCGACTGCGACAGTCTGGTCCAACCCAACCGCTGCTACTAAGCGAGCTCTGTCGACAACATACTATCACACCTCACACGACTCAGGCGCGCATCTCAAACAGCCTTTCCAGCCACAGGCGCATCCATCGAGGCCACAGACGGCCGCCTTGTCAGATCTCACGACAGGCTCAGATGATGAATCGAGCGCAGAACCTTGCAGCGACTAACGGTACTGAAAACCTGGCTAAATATGAGCAACACGGTTCGCGATGAGAGAACTGACTTGAACTAGAACACTGTCCGGTGGAAGCTTGACACTTGCCTTCCTTACACCAGGATTCCTGCTGTGCGATGTACACGCCTGGTACTTCAGGCCACCGTAAGGAAGCTCCTGCCCAAACTCCCGCACGCTCTTCATCTTCGGGTCGACCTCTCAGTCCGGAGCTCGACATCTGAAGCCACAGCGATGTATCAGTTTTGCTTTTACAACGCGAAAAAACAACACGTATAGCTGCAGCTGCCTACGCATTCCATGTCCTCAGGCCCAGCCTCCAAGGCATATCGCGCATGACAGGGCACGGCGAATATCTTTCCCCCGGCGCTCCTCAGACACGCTTCCATCCGAGGCTCCAATGCTCCAATTGAAGATTCATTCCGAATGGGATTGCACAGAGCTGTCGTGTCTTGCAGGTGCATTGCTGGGCCGTCAGTGCTGCCAAAATCACACTGAAACTTGCACCAAATCTCTGCCAAATGGCACAGCAGCCACGTATCGAGCTTGTCCTAGAGACAGCTCCTGGGTCAGTCTCATGTTTCATTACACGATCTTATATGGAACTCGGCCGCCGTTCTTCTGGTATCGTCGTCCCACAATGGGAGAGCTTGGAATGCGGTTTGGGCTTCGAGTGGTCTCGAGAGCACTGCCCGAAACAGCAAGTCACCACCGTGTTCACATGCAGGCTCATGCAACATGCTTCTGACACTCCACCATGCGCCCCTGCGCTCCTCGCCGACTTCCTCCTTGCGGCCCGACTCGGGGTCAATGCAGACCTCTGCTGTTCGCTGTTCGGGCAGGTTCGGTGACCTTTGCGGGGTAGATGTAGGCGTCGCGCACAAATGAAGGGTCTGGTGCCAAGAACGTTCACTCAGATCTGTGGCTACAGCGCACTCTTTTTCGGATACTCACGCCAAGCAGATGTAGGAGATCGTGTCGTAGTTGTTGCTCTTGCTTCTATCGTCGTCAGCTTCACGTGGCATCATCATAGCAGAAGTAAAGACCACACCTAAGTGTGGTAATTCTAGCGAAGATTCTGTAATGTTCGTCTCGCCTTCGACCAGGACTGAATGGGGGTGACCATCGACCATAGACGTGGTGGTCGTGTTTGTGGTGGTATTCATTGCCAATAAACCTATGTCACGTTGGGAACAGCGGTCGAACAGAAATGGCTTGATCAGAATGGTGATTGTTGTGGGGACAGCACCGACAGCATGCACTATGATCATATGCAGCAATACATAACGTCATACAACGCCCTAACGGTATGATCCCTCTGCAAGAGTTCCAGTAATACTGTTCTTAGTACTTGGCAGCATCACGAGTCCGAGCAGCCACTCGCTCACAGGTCTGCGCAAAGGGGATGGCATAGACGCCTCCGCCAGCCTCCGAACTGGCGGCTACAGCCACCTGGTACTTGAAGGCACCTGGAAGCTGACAGGATGTTGTACTTCATTGCCACCTGGTATGTGCACCTGACATATGTACAGCGAGTGGCTGATTCTCGAGCTATGAATGCATGCGTGTGCATTCATTCGCCTATCCACTTTTCTGCAAAACATTACATGTTTGCAAGCAGGCATGCGCGCATGTATATGCATGTGTACGGGTATATGTCTGTGTGTACATGGCTGTATGTGCCTGCATATGTCTGTATGTGTATGCATAAGAATGTATGTGTGTGTGAGTGCGCATGACGTTTTGTATTGCATTGCATAGTTTCGTGCACTGCAGCATTTTGTATGTATTGACCGGACTGCATGATATGGCATGATGTGCTATGCTATGAACTATTTTGTGATGCGCGATTACATGAGCTTGCACGACATGATATGATGCGACAGGGTCTGATATGATACGACATGATATGATATGGTGTGATACGATATGGTGTGATATGATACGATATGATATGATATGATGTGATGTGATATCACATATGATGTGATATGGCATGTATGTTATGCCATGCATGTTATACACATTAAGCCTGCATGCATGGCTGGCTGGCTGGCTGACTGGCTGGAGGGACGGACGGATGAATCTGTTTACTTGAGTATATACTTATATAAATATAAACAAAGAATTAAATACACAGGACGGACGGATGAATCTGTTTATTTGAGCATGTACTTACATAAATATGAACAAAGAATTAAACACACATATATATATATGTCACTATGTGAGCATGCATGCGTGCATGTCTGTACCTACGTACATACGCATGCATGCATGTACAGCTCCCACTGCTCCATCGTGTTTAAGATGCGAAGGTTCCAGGGGCAAACAAATGCAAGACCAGGAATGTTCCAAGCAGCAAACACGACCTCCAGCCGCATAGATGTGTATGCACGTGCCTTTATAGTATGCTTTCGTGAGGTTCACGAACAACTCGCATGAACCCGCATGGACGGCGGAGGGACCGTCCAGTACCAATAACATCCAGAGTGTGAAGGGGGTGAGCAAAATGCTCCCGGGTGCATGTATGTGCATGCCTTCGACAGGCAAGCCCACTTCTCCAACATGGCCGGCTTCCATGCGGTGTCCTGACAGCGTATTGAAACGGCTTGAGTACGACAGACAGGAATTGCCGCAGAAACGGGGGAGGGGATGGTACAGTGTGCAGCCCGCCTGGATGAAGCCCGTGCTTTCGGCATCTTTCGTAAAGTCCATTCGAAGGCAGACCGATAAAGTTCTACACCCGAGCCTCTCCATTCGGAGCTGCGAGAGCTCGTCACGCACGAATCCTGCAGATCTTCCAGTATCATGGGCTCCGAGTGCATGGACTCTAAGCGAGCTGGATTCGTTCATGGAAAGCTCTCCTTCGCGAACACACTTGTCCGCAGCTTCCTCCGCACGAGGAGCCCAAAGACACGCTAAGCTCCAAAACCTGCAGGTGCAGCATTAAATCGGTCAGTATGTTTCGTTCTTTCTTGAGGCGCTTCTTTCTCCGGGTCTGGCTAAGTCTCGTCCCGGAGATGTTCTGGTGTTCGGGGGCGTAACAGCCGTAACGGAAACACACCGGAAAGCCTGGCCTGCTGCCCACAGACGTGCTGCCCCGAGGACATGCCACACCAAGGGCGAAACAAGGCAAAGCAACACCGTCCCTGTGCTGTGGCTTGGTAGAGCAGGAGTTGAAGCACATGCAGAATGATTGCCTTCCTATGTCACGCTGTGTGCACCGAGCTTGAGATGCCAGGAACTGTCCAGCGCTCCCGATGCACATAAGCGCTCCCACTCCGAAAGCTCGCGCTGTGGTTTGGCATGACTGCAACTGCAACCCATTGAACACGCCACCAGTCTAGCATTTCTCTAAGTAGTAGATGCACAGGAGAAATTGCTGGATCTGCATAGTCTAAGAATGACAAATTTCAAGGTCACATCTCGCTTCTTACCGTCTAGAGCAGCGATGTCTACTCACGGATGAATGGCTCACCACAGTTGCACAGGCACTCTGATGAGCAACCGTTTGCAGCTGTAGCTGCACTTGACTTGTAGTAGCAGCGACGAAGATTGGACGGCAGAAGACTCTGCTTCCGATCTTGCCGTCAAGGTGCTCGCACTGCCCATATGGCAGTATTTAACAACCGCGGAGACTGCTCTGTGCAAGCAATGTCGTACCTTGGAATCGTCCTCTGGCAGACAGTATAGCCGGATTGAGTTGACAGGCATTGCTGCGCATCAGCGGCACATCCAGATGTCATCCGGGCTTAAGCAAACAATCTTGGCAAGAGCTCTTGCATCGTGCCTCGCAAAGATTCTGTGCTTTTGAGGCAGGAGGGTCCGGCGTCGAAGGGAATCGAGGCAATGCATCCACCATTGACCAATGTCAGTGACAGGTGTTCAGTTCTCAGGCATGTTCACTGCAGACCAGCAAACACAGATTCGCTGCCCGTGCTTAGTCATGGCGGAACTGTCAAAATCCAGAGCTACGACGGGAAAGTGCAATGACTGCACATGCTGCTGGACACGAAACGGGAATCAAAGACTGATCCTTTCCACAAATCCAAGCACTCACCTTCCCTCCACCATGAGTGAACCTTGCGCTTCCCTCCGCGGGCCGCAAGAGGAGCCGGGAAAAGCAAAAACGAATTCTCTTGCCCTCAGCACTCGCTACAGTTCAAAGGCTGTCGCGGCGAGGCCAGTTCCAAGTGACCCTGTCCGTTTCTACACTATATGATATATGGTGTATATATAGTATACTGTGCATTGTGCATGTGTGTATAAATATAGATATACACAGGATATTTCGTAACATTAGTATATTATAGTATAGAGTATCAGTTGGTTATGCTGTTCACACCCCTTTCTCCCCGAGTCTCAGACCTGGTATGTTGGAACCCCTCCTCCGAGAGACCAAGCGCAGGCCCACAGTGCACTCCAAGTTTCCTGAAACCTAGAACTTCATCGCAGGTTGAGCCGGAGCACTCACAGTACTCAAAATGGCCACCCCCAACCGCCACTAGCACCTGTGTACAGGTTGATTGAAACCTCTGAGTCTGAGACACTATGCGACAGATGGTTAGTGTAGCGCTGGCGCTCGAGCGCCACTGTGCAGGGCGCATGGGCAAGGATGGCATCCATGAACCCTGTCGGCACCTTTTGCTCTCCATTTACATCTAGTATGCAGGGTCTGCATTAGCAAGAAGACGGTTCACCCTCCTAAGAAACTGCTGCTTTCTGCCTAGCCCCCAACCACAAAGTCCATAACCCTGAAGCCCTGCCTGAGGTCTAGGAGTCTAGCCCGTCCCAGGGCCTCCGGACAGCAGGCCGAAACCCTACAAACTCGAGCCCCTTATTCAGTTTTTCTCTGTCTCGGATCAGAGAGCAAAGCGTGCCCGTTTCGCGTTTCAGCCTCAGGCAATGGTATCCACGTGGCTGCTGCGATCAGACCTTGGCTTCTCGAAGCCTGACTAGAACGCTCCGTCTCTGCTTCTGAAGATTCTTCGCCGCTTGAAATTGTGAGTGTAAGCTTTTCTTGGTACTACGAGTACGATAAATGAATAGCTGGTTTTGTCATGATTATCGTGAAAGCCAACAATAGCATCATCATTGGTTCGGTTCCGGGTCCAAGCCCGGAAGTTCCCTGAGTCCCCAAGGCTCTGGGTCTTGGCCCCCCTGCGCTGCAGCTTTGAGGTAGCTGTGCCGATGGATCTCCAAGATGAAGGAGTCGGTCACAGCTACCGCGCTGAAATCTGAGACATACCTGGGCCGATGTCACCATACTGTAGGTCCTGGACCATGAACCACACACCAAAACCATCCCAAACCCCAGACTCTCTAGACATCTCTAGACCCCAGCCCAGCCCGAGCCCCTCATGGAAGGAACACTACAAACGCGAAGCCGAAACACCTGCTGAAGCGCCGAAATCCTGCGTAACAGATGATAGCGTTCTCGCAGAAGGGGCATTCTTCCAGGCAGGTTTGCATTGAGGAATGCTCGGAGTATACCACATATTTCGACGTCAGGCAGGATCGGGATCGATTTCGGGGTGTGGCTGCTACCTCAGGGACTGCTTGCCTTGGGCACTTCAATGGGCCGGTGGTGTTCGTGGCAGCTTAGAGGCCTTCATTGTTAGAACAGACTTAGTGTTTGAAAGCTTTAAAGTAGATGATACTAGAAGTATAGTAGGGAAGCTTCTAGCCTCGACGATTCCGGCATGACAGTTCGTGCTCGGGCTTTACAGGATGAAGATTTCAGCTCAATCCCAAGTTTTTTGGGGGAGGGTTACGTTTCGAACGTGTCTCGTTACTGTCGCTCCTAGTCCGAATGGTGATGATCGTGATAGTCACAAACAGACACACACTCATGGGCATGTCCACCACCGCGAACCATCATCGTGATAAACCAGCTTCTTCATTGTCATCCTCGTCATCACACTCCTCGTCAAGAGCCCACACTCCTCAAACTCCGGCGAGTGGCGGGTCGGGGGCCTTAGGCTGCAACAACCCAATGCCAAGCACCTGAGAGAGTCTTCGCAGTAGAGAGCTTTGGGGCGGGATCAGCCAGGCTGATGTCTCCCAGGCACAGCCCAGGGCCCTGCAGAACTCTCGCAGTCGTCGAGGCCACTGGTAAGGTGCAGTGCACCTCATTCAGCTTCGCGGCGACACGGTAGAGTGTGCACCATGAGTTGACAAGGGGCAGCTTGCCATGGCGACAGCTGGAACCAAAAACAAATTCACAAAGCAATTATAAGCTGAGCGCCCCTAGATCCCAAATCGACGGTCGCAGAGCAGGGCACCTTGAAGCACAAGCGTGACGACATCCGTCTCCTTGCCTTTTTGGTAGAGCTGCGCTCGCTTTGAAATCTGCCTCAACTTTGGAAGGACACGAATGTTCACACGACTGCTATGCTTCTGGCTCCGGCTTTCCATATGCTTACATACTTGTCAGAGTAACCTGGCGCTTCGTCAGTGTATCCCTCAGGGGCTGTACGGTTCAGCTGGATGAACCCAATGCGCAGAGGACTCGGCAGTATACGTGTTCACGTTCAACACCAACTATATTGCAACATCTGCAACCTTCAACAAGTTTGAATCCTAAGCGGCCGCAAGCAAATCCCACTGCCCAACGCCATCTGCACACGTTTCATGTTCTAAACCCAAACCCTCAACCCCTGCACTGCAGGGGCCTTAATAATCCTCAATACGCGCAATAAGGTTTTGGGGGAAATCACGGCATAAACTATTCTAAAGCGATGCTAGTAGTAGTCCTTCCGACCTCTAAATGACTTACCCCATTGCACCCTAGAGCTGCAGCCTACAACCCTCCTGAACCCTGGACCCTGGACTCCAAACCCTCAACCCGAAACCCTAAAGGGTCTCCTTCCCCCCCCCCCCCCCCCCCAGAGAATCTCCGGGTGGCCGAGGATGGAGAGACTCCAGGAGCTCCAGCAAGGCCGACTGGCTCAGTGCCTCTCTGCATCTTCTTTTTTTTGGGTTTCAGGCGTTAGGGATCTTTAAGGATTTAGCGGGTTTAAGGGTTCAGGGGTTTAGG